AGGCTCAACTGCAAGAGGAGGGAGTGCTCAGCCCACGCAGAAGTTATACTTCGAGTACCCAGCTTAGTTGATAGGGGAAGCTGTGCCACTAGACCCTACAGGATACCTATTACATTAGGCCACTCTGTCAAGCCTGGAAGATGTAACAGCTCTACTTAATACAGAGAATCAAACAAGAGGCTGCCAAACTGAGAAGACAAAAAACATGGCCCAAATGAAATAACAGATCAAAACTCCCAAAAAAGAACTAAACAAAATGGAGACAAGCAATCTTTCAGATGCAGAGTTCAAAACACTGCTTATAAGGATGTTTGGTGAACTTGGTGAGAACCTAAACAACATTAAAAAAAAAGAGTCGGAAATGAAAGATACACTAATTGAAATAAAGAGTAAGTTATAGGAAATCAACAGTAGAGCGGATAAAGCCAAGAATCAAATCAGCGATTTAGAATATAAGGAAGCAAAAAACACCTAATCAGGAAAGTAAGAAAAAAAAAGAATAAAAAAATTAAAATAGTGTAAGGAGCCTGTGGGACAATGTCAAGCATACCAACATTCACATCATAGGGGTGCCAGAAGGGAAAAAGAGAGAGCAAGAAATTGAAAACCTATTTGAAAAAATAATGAGAGAAACTTCCCTAATTTGATGAAGGAAATAGACATAAAAATCCAGGAAGCACAGAGAGTCCCAAACAAGGTGAACTGAAGGAAGCCCACTCCAAGACATATCACAATTAAAATGTCAAGGGTTAAAGAAAAGCCTAAAAGCAGGAAAAAAAAGCAGTTTGTTACCTACAAGGGAACTCCCATAAGACTGTCAGCTAATTTTTTAAAAGAAACTTTGCAGGCCAGATGGGAGTGGCAAGGAATACTCAAAGTGATGAAAAGCAAGGACCTACAACCAAGATTACTCTAACCAGCAAACTATCATTTAGAATCGAAGGACAGATAAAGAGCTTCCCAGACAAGAAAAAGCTAAAGGAGTTCATCACCACCAAACCAGTATTATAGGAAATGTTAGAGCAGGGGTTTCCAACCTTTTGGCATCTCTGGGCTACAATGGAAAAAGAAGAGTTGTCTTGGACCACACATTAAATATACAAATACTAATGAAAACTGATGAGCAAAAAAACAGGTCTGTGCATAATTTTCATGATGTCTGCCACCACAGATAAGCAAAGAAGTCCTCACATAATAACCTCATTATGCAGCAGCCCTTTCAATAATTGTTTTTTAAAGGATTTTAATTTATTTTTAGACGGGAAGGGAGGGAGAAAGAGAGGAAGAGAAACATCAATGTGTGGTTACCACTCATGTGCCTCCAACCAGGGACCCCACCTGTGACCCAGGCATGTGCCCTGGCTAAGAATTGAACCTGTGACCCTTTGGTTCACAGGTTGGCACTCAATCCACTGAGCCACACCAGCCAGGGCTTGATACTCTTTTAAAATCATCAAGCAGGTCCCAGGTTTGTGATCACTAATATAGAAAATGTACATATCTAATAAAATGTCATTGTACATACATTTATTTTACACATTATTGTACATATATTTATTTTATGTGACATTGTGACATATAATCACAAAAAATCTATTAATGTTTAAGTAAGTTTATGATTTTGCATTGGGCTGCATTCATAGCCATTCTGGGCCACATGCAGCCTGTGGGCCATGGGTTGGATACCCCTGTGTTAGAGGGTCTTCTTCATGAAGAAGATAAAAAATACGAACAACAAAATGGCAATATATACATATTTATCAATAATTGAATCTAAAAAATCAAAATAAATGAACAAGTGGTACAGAAACAGAATCATAGATATAGAGAACACTTTGATGGCTGCCAGATGGGAGGGGGTTAGAGGGATGGGCAAAAAAGGTGAAGGGATTATGAAATACAAATTGGTTGTTACAGAATAAGTCATAGGCATGTAAAATATAGCATAGGGAAAGTAGTCAATAATAGTCTAATAATTATGTATGTTGTCAGATGGGTGTGAGACTTATCAGGATAATCACTTAGGTTATGTAATGTCTAATCAGTGAGGTGTACACCTGAAAGCAATACAATAATATATGACAACTGTAATTGAAAATAAAAATGATTAAAAAACCAATCCCAATAAAAATCATAGTAGCTTTTTTGTTGTTGAAATGGACAAACTTATTCTGCAATTCATATGGAAGTGTCAAGGACCTAGAATAGTAAAAAATAACTGAAAAAGAGACTTTATTGAGGTATAATTTACATTCCATATTTAAATTGTACATTTCAATGATTTTTTTAAAAAAACAAAAGTATTATTTTTCATTTTTATTTATTTTGTAAAGGTTTTATTGGTTTATTTTTAGAGATAGGGGAAGGGAGAGAGAAACATTGATGTGAGAGAGAAAAGTCAATCAGCTGCCTCTCATACATGCCCTGACTGGGGACCAAACCCACAACCTAGGCATGTGCCCTCAGCAGGAATTGAAACAGTGACCTTTTGCTTTGTGGAATGATGCCCAATCCACTGAGCCACACTGGTCAGGGCTGTTCTTTTTTCTTTAAAAAAAATCTTTAAATATATTTTTTCAGGCTTTGGTAAGTTTCATTGGAGCAAAATTTCAATGAAAGGTGGCTTTTATTTACAGAATTTAATGTGCTTGGGGACTGTCCAACCCACTTGGACACAAGTGAAGATAACCATTAAACCTGTGTGTGTGTATATAATTTTAAAAATACTCACAAGAGGACATGTTTCCATTGATGAGACAGGGAGAGAAAGAGAGATGGAGGGAGGGAGAGAGAGAGAAAAAGAGAGAGAGAAACATCTATGTGAGAGAAAAAACGTCGATTGATTGCCTCTTGCATGTAACCCAGGATGTGTCCTGACCAGGAATGGGGAATGGAACCACCAATCTTTCTGTGTATAGAACAGTGCTCAAACCAACTGAACCACACCAGCCAGGGTTGTTTATATATTTTCTTATTTTCAATTTGCATACAAAACGTTGTGCTTGCTTCACATTCACAAAAATGGCAATATTGTAAAAGATAAACCCTCCCTTCCCCAAACTTTAATTAAATATTTTTAAAAGTTCAAATAACATATAACTTAGCCCTAGCTGGTATGGCTCAGTGGATCAAGTGCTGGCCTGCAAACCAAAGGACTGCTGGCTTGATTCCCATCAGGGCACATGCCTGGGTTGCAGGCCAGGTCCCCAGTTAGGGGTGTACCAGAGGCAACCAATTGATGTATCTCTCTTGCACATGATGTTTCTCTCCCTCTCTTTCTCCCTCCCTTCCCGGCTCTCTAAAAATAAATAAATAAAATCTTTTAAAAAACATATAACTTAGATTGGTTTAATCTTGAAATGTATTCCATTAAGACTAAAAACTAAACATTTTATATCCTGCACCAAACAGTAAAATACTCAAAGGCCTTCAGAATCCTCTGACTGATTTACATCAATAAGAGCACCTATTTTTTTATGTAGTAAAAGAAATGTGTTAATCTCCAATTCAAATTTCAAGCTTCTGTTGGCCAACCCTGTCAAGGGGAGGCCACAAAGCATCATCTTCTTTTGTAATTTCACTGTCATCAGTAATTCTCTTCACATGAGTCTTCTGTACATATTCCTCTTTTCTGATCAGCAAATCATTTTTGTCATTGCTGTTGTGGCCACGTCTAAACTTCTGTTCCACCAAAACACAAATTCTAGAAACTCATGTCCAAATTTGCCTTTGTGCCCTAAACAGTAGTACAGGTAGAAATTGCTGGCCATAACCATTTTTGTTCCCAGAAAGCCTGCTGAAGGCTTGGCCAACGTCCCACTGGGTGCCTGGCAGTGACATCCAAAAGTTTATTCTTAAGTATGTAACAGGCTCCAAGACACTTTCTTCTAGCTATAGGTGGCAACAGATGTTATGGCAGAGACTTCTTTAAACAGGAATGGATTTAAGGATCACCTCAATGGCCTTTATTACATTTACTCAGTTGCAACCATTGCCACAATCAAATTCCATAACATTTATATCACCCCAATAATATCCCTTGTACTAATTTAGTTAATGACTGTTCTCATTCCCACCTCCAGACAACTGCTAATCTATTGATATCTATAGATTTTACTTTTCTGGACATTTCCTATAAATACAATGTACAAATACAATATTAGATCTTTTGTGTCTTGCTTCTTTCACTTAGCATAATACTTTCGAGGTTCACCCATGTTGTAGTATTTACAGGCACACCTTGGATATACTGTGGGTTCAGTTCTAGATTACTGTAATAAAGTGAGTATTGCAAAAAAGTGAGTCATAATCTTTCTGCTGATCTTACCTTCAGTTTGTAAAAAAAAAAAAAACAACCCCTATGAAGCCCAATAAAACCAGGTATGCCTGAATTAGTATTTATTCCTTTTTATTGCCAAATATACTGCATTTTGTTTATGTAGTCCCCAGTTGATTGATATTGGGATTGTCTCTATGTTTTGCCTCATATAAATAATGCATTTATGAATATTGAAGTGCTTGTGTGACCACATTACATATCTTTTGGGTACATAATAGGAATGGCATTGTTGGGTCCTACAGTAAATTTATAATCAACTTTTTAGAAACTGTCAGACTTTTCCAAAGTGGCTATACCATTTTAATGCATTCACACCAGAAATGTATAAAAGTTCCTGATTCTACATATCCTTACCAACATTTGTTATGATTGTCTTTTATTATAGCCATTTTAGTATATGTATTGTACAAAAAAGTGGTATTTCGTTGTGGTTTTCATTAAAATTTCTCTTATAACTAATGATGTTGGGCAAATTTCATGTACTTATTTGTATGTCTTCTTTTTTTATTGAGTACAATGTCTCCATTTTTCACCCCACCATGCCACCCCACCCTGCCCATCTCTGCCTCCCACCCTCAAACCCACCCCCTTTGGTTTTGTCCATGTGTCTTTCATACATGTTCCTTGATGGTCCCCCACATTGTCTCTCTTCCCCCCTCCTCTCTGGTTACTTTTAGATTGTTATTTCAATGTCTCTGGTTGTATTTTGCTTGCTTGTTTGTTTTGCTTATTAGGTCCCACTTATAAGTGAGATAATATGATATTTGTCTTTTGCCCCCTGGCTTATTTCACTTAGCATAATGCTTTCCAGTTAGCATAATGCTTTCCAGTTCCATCCATGCTGTCACGAACGATAGGAGCTCCTTCTTTCTTTCTGCTGCATGGTATTCCATTGTGTAAATGTACCACAGTTTTTTGATCCACTCATTTACTGATGGGTACTTAGGTTGCAAATGTCTCTTGAAATCTTTTGCCCATTTAAAAATTATTTATTTATTTTTTTAGAAAAGAGAGGAAGAGAAACATCAATGTGTGAGAAACAACAATCAGTTGCCTCTCATACATGCCCCAACCAGGGACCTGGCCCACAACCCATGCATGTGCCCCAACTGGGAATTGAACCTGCGACCTTTCGTGGGATATTGTCCAATGGAATCAAACCAGTCAGGGCCTTTTGCCCATTTTTAAACTGGGTTGTTTTTCTTTTTTTATTATTGCATTCTTTATATTTTCTAAATACAAGTCCTTTGTCAGATACATGATTTACAGATATTTTCTCCTAGTCTGTTTTGTCTTTTCCCTTTCTTAATAGTGTCTTTTGAAGTATAGACCTTTTTTGTTCTGATGAAGTCCAATTTATCATTCTTTTCTTCATGGTATACTCTCTAAGAATTACTTGCTTAATACAAAGACACAGAGATTTTTCTCCTATGTTTTCTGCTAAAACTTTCATAATTTTAGCTTTTATATTTACATCTTTGATCCATTCTGAGTTCATTTTTAGTATGGTGTTAAACAAGATTTAAATTCATCTTTTTGTGTGTGAATATCCAATTATTCTTTCAGTAAATGTTAAAAAGACTGTTTTTCTCCATTGAATTACCTTAACACTTTTATAAAGAATATTTTTACCATAAGTATGAGGGTTTGCTCCTGGACTCTCTATTCTGTTCCATTAACAGAATATTTCTTTGTCCCCATCCCATTACCATACTGTCTTGATTACTCTACTTTTATAATAATTTTGAAATTAGGAAGTGAATTTCCTCCCAGTTTGTTCTTTGGCAAACTTCTTTTTGCTATTCTTGGTCCTTTCTATGTCTGTATAAATTTTAGGATTAGCTTATAAATTTCTAGGCAAGAAAGACTTGTTGGAAATTGGAGAGAGTTGTACTGAACCTGTAGATCATGTAATTTTTCTTTTTTAGCCTGCTAATATGATAGATTATATTGCATGATTTTGAATTTTGAAGCAGCCTTGCATCACTAGAATAAATCCCAGTTGATCATGATATATATGTTTACATATTTCTGGATTCAGTTTGCTAGTATTTTATTGAAGATTTTTACATCTATGTTCATTAGGAATAATGGTCTTTAGTTTTCTTTTCCTGTGATATGTTTGTATGGCTTAAGTATTAGGGTAATACTGCCCTCATAGAATTGGGGAGTACTCCCCTCTCCTGTTTTCTGAGAGATTTTGTGGAACATAGATATTATTTATCTCACAAGTGTTTGATGCCATTAACCAATTAAACCATCTAGTTTTGGTCTTTTGTGTGTGCGAGAAGAATTAAACTGAGGAGGGTATACGGGGGTCAAACAGTAACAGAAAAAATACAATAAATTTTTTTAAAAAAGAATTAAACCTATTAATTGCTTTTATTGAAGGTGGAATATAAAATGGTACAGACATGTGAGGACTGTGATGGGGTCTCAGAACTCAGATATCAGTCAGCTGTCTTGGAGAGACACTATGGTGGGATTGGAGGACAATGAAATAAATATTAAACAACACTGTGATATCACTATATAGCCACCATAATGGCTAAAGTAAAAAAGATAGAAAATAACAAGTGTTGATAAAGTTTAGAGTAACTAGAATTTGCTTCATAATTTGCTGTTGGCACAGCCACTTTGGAAAACTAGTTTTATAAACTAAAGCAGATTATATGGACACTCTATGACCTGGCATTTACTTAACAAATTCATAAATATGTTCACCATTAGATAGGTACTAATATATTTATAGCAGCACTATTCCTAATAATCCCAAGCTGCAAACAATCCAAATGTCCATCAATAGTAGGATGGATAAATATATTATAGCATATTCACATAGTAGAATATAACATGACAATGAATTAACTACAACTATATTAAACAATATAGATGAACCTAACATTCATAATGTGAATGAAAGAAGATAAACACTAAAATATAAATTATAATTGTTTGACTTAATGTATATAAAATACAAAACAGAAAAACAATCTGTGCTGTTAAAAGTAAGGACAAAAAAAAAGTCAGGACAGTGGTTACCTTTGTGGAGGGAGGCAGTAGTAAGGCCTGGAAGGGAGCAAAGGGATTGCTTCTAGAGTGTTGGTCATGTTCTGTTTCTTGATCTGAGTATTTTCAGTTTGTGAGAATTCATTCAGCTGTATGCTTATGACATATGTATTTTCTGTATGCATTATACTTTAGTAAAATTAAATTGCATTTAAGAAATAAAACTCCCTTTCTCATGAGTATTGTTTAAAAACATTTAAGAGAAAATGAGAAAGTATCTATATATCAGTGCTTTAAAAAAAGCAATGCTCTTTCTAGAAAAGTCTTCCAGTTATTCAACTATCATAAGCTTAATCATATCTTAAACTAGCCAACTACAATGCAAAATGACTATCCCACAGCAATCCACACAAAAGTAGTCTTAATATGCATATAGAAAATGAATGTGTTAATCAAATTGGTAGAAAAATAAAAGCAAAACTTTATGTATTAAAACCCAATTTCTCACTCATTCTTTTTCGAACAAGAATTCAAAAGAAAGCAAAGGCTTCAGTGGATGAGACTGGAAGTCCAGAGTCTCATGGGTCAAGGTCAGTCACTAAAGAGATAAGAAGTCTGTGGCATGCAATTGATGTAAATGGTAGGTTTTGGGGTATGGGTTAGAAGGTATGCATGGTTTTTTCGAGTGTGAATCATCAACCTGTTGCCACATCATGGAATTAATGAGGGAACAATTGCCACCTTTAGATGTGTGCAACATGTAATAACTGTATTCTTGTAACATAAGCTAGAGCTTTGCTTAATTTGCCAATGCATAAAGTCAGACTTAACTTTAAGTTTTAAAATTACATTTTTAAGAAGCATACCATGGTGACTTCTCAAAGGGAAGAGAAAGAATAGTTCATGGCAGTCTTTTCTGTGTCCTAAATGTCAATGATCACAAAAACTCCTGGCTTCTACTCACAGATCTGCATTCTGAAGTAGGTTTTTGCCTTGACTTCTGTGCCCTGCAAGTATTTAGACAATGAAAATGTTTTTCCCAACCCTAGAAATTTGAAAAACTTTGTCCAATATTGAATACCTTTCACTCCAGGGTATGAAGAACTAATCAATGCTGAATTTATAAAGTCCTTTATTCAAAAAGTGAAACATATGAGATTACAAATAATCTTCTGGGGTCCCTTTTTCTACTATTTGCAGGAGCTTGAGACCCACCTACATGAGTCATGAAACCAAACAGGACTATTGTTGAAAGAGTCTCCCTACATGTAGAATTGTGTATCAACTGTGGTGATGCAGTTATTTGGTTTTGGGGGATACTTGGCTTTGTTTGCATTCTGTTCACTTCACATGCAGTCTGTTGCATCTATTTCCCCACGCACAATGATTGTGGCATCAGGCACTCCTCTTCTTCACTATGAGCCATCTGATGCATACACAGCTACAATTTCCAGCTGAAGGCGTTTTTTCAGTCACTGCTTTTATAAAATTTTTCTTCACTATGAGTTTTCTGGTGTTTAATGAGATTTGATCTGTCAGTGAAGGCCTTCTGACATTCTGTACAAGCATAGGGTTTCTTTCCTGTGTGAATTAACTGATGCATACTTAGTGTTGCTTTCTGGATGAAAGCTTTCCCACATTTACTGCATCCATAGTGTCTCTCTCCAGTATGAGATTTCTGATGGATGGTGAGGCGTGATTTCCAGGTGAAGGTTTTTCCACAGTCACTGCATTTATAGGGTTTCTCTCGAGTATGGATTTTCTGGTGTGTTATGAGATTTGACCTGTCAGTGAAAGCTTTCCCACATTCAGTACATATATTGGGTTTCTCTCCTGTGTGAATTTTCTGATGCACACGGAGTTGTGACTTCTTAGTGAAGCATTTTCTACAGTCACTGCATTCATAAGGCTTCTCTCCAGTATGAATTCTATGATGTGCAATGAAATGTGATTTCTGGATGAAGGCCTTCCCACAGTCAGGACAAACATAGGGTTTCTCTCCTGTATGGATTCTCTGATGCACACTTAGTGTTGATTTCTGGATAAAGGCTTTCCCACATTCATTACATTCATAGTGTCTCTCTCCAATATGAGATTTCTGATGTATTTTGAGGCGTGACTTCCATATGAAGGCTTTTCCGCAACCATTGCATTTATAGGGTTTCTCTCCAGTATGAGTTTTCTGATGTTTAATGAGATTTGACTGATCACTGAAAGCCTTCCCACATTCAGCACACATATGGGGTTTCTCTCCAGTATGAGTTTTCTGATGAGTAGTGAGGTTTGTCCTATGAGTAAAGACCTTCCCACATTCTGTGCATATATAGGGCTTTTCTCCTGTGTGAATTCTTTGATGCACATGGAGTTGTGACTTCTTAGTGAATGACTTCCCACAGTCACTGCATTCATAAGGCTTCTCTCCAGTATGAATTCTCTGATGTGTATTGAAATGTGATTTCTGGATGAAGGCCTTCCCACATTCAGTGCATACGTAGGGTTTCTCTCCTGTGTGGATTCTCTGATGCATCCTGAGTGCTGATTTTCTTGTGAAGGCTTTCCCACACTCACTGCATGCATAGAGTTTCTCTCCAGTGTGAGTTTTCTGATGAATACTGAGGTCTGAATTTTGGGAGAAGCCCCTTCCACATTCACTGCATTCATAAGGTTTTTCTCCTGTATGAATTCTCATATGTCTAAAGAGATAAGATCTGTGGAAAAAGGCTTTTTCACATTCACTGCATTTGTAGGGTTTCTGCCCAGTATGAATTTTCTGATGTGTAGTGAGGTTTGACTTGAGAGTAAAGGCCTTCTTACAATGAGTACATATATAGGACTTTTCTCTTGTATAAACACTCTGAGCTACATCAGTTTGGGGCTTCTGGGTGAAGACCGTATCACTTTTGTTGCATTCATGAGATTTTTCTCCAGCATTAATTCTCTGATGTGCAAAGAGATCTGACTTCTGGGTGAAGCTCTTCACATACTCAGTACATACACAAAGTTTCCTCCTGGTGTGAATTTTCTGATGGTGGGTGAGAGCTTGTTTGTGGCCAAGATGTTTTCCACACTGATTGTGTTCACAAGCATTTGCTCCTGTATTAGCATTGTCATTCTTAGTGCAGGAAGAGCTATGGGAAAAATTGTTGCCATTTCCAAAAATCTTATCCAGGCTCATTGTTGCATTGCTTTTATTATGATTATGTAAGTTTAAAGTATGCTTCAAACCCTTTCCAAATGTGTCATAGTTATGGAGTCTTTTAATTGAAGGAACAATCTTGGTACTCACATGAATTAGTTTTTCAAAGTTTTTACATTCATAGCCCCTCTCTTTAATGAATACTTTCACATGACTTAGAGGGTTATTTTGCTTTTCTTGATCTCTCTCCGGCTGGTCATTATCTTGCCACAATTCTAAAATGGAACACAATGAATCTTCTATGGATTGACCAAATTTCTCACACTGGAATAAAACTTCTCCAGAAATTCTCTGTTGTTTGGTTTGCCCAACATCTTCATCTAAAAAGAAAAAGGGAAAATGAAAATGACTCAAAGAATAATTAGCAGAGGATAGAGGGTACATACAATTCAGACAAGATGAACACAGAGTCCATATGACAATAATGAAAATAGTGATAATGCAGTAATATAAAATTCTTGTAGAACATGCACTATATACAAAACAATTATATAACATTTGTGATGCAGTGGGCACTGTTCCAAATGCTTTACACATAACAACTGATTTAATCTTCACTAAACTCTAAGAGGTAGCTATCATTATCAATCATGTTTTATAGATGAGAAAACAAACACAGATAAGTTATGTAACTTGTTGAAGATCAAATAGCCAAATAAGTGAGAGAGATGGGATTTGAACCCTGGGAATCCATATCCACTAGTAGAAGGTCTGGATAATGAACAGAATAACCAGAAGAAGAAACTAAAGTCTGTTAAAGGGAAGTCTGGCATGCAAGAAATATTTCAGATTATACAAGGTCTGTCCAGAAGGTATCCAGCTATGTTCTATGAAAAATAGACATTTATAGAACAAGATACAAGACACAAGAAATATTGTACATAGGACAATGACACCTTAGTCCCCTTCAAAGTAGGCACCTTGGGACCTCATACAGTTCTCCCAGTTGCCATAAGCTGCCCCACCATATTTTCCTGAATCTCATTGACAGTCTGAAATCTCTTTCCTTTCAAAGGTGCTTTTAGTTTTAGGAAAAGCCAGAATTCACAGAGCACCAAATCTGGGCTGTAGTGGGGCTGAGTCACCTGGGTGATTTGATGTTTTGCAAAAAAAACTCTGCACAAGACGTGATCCATGAGCAGGCATGTTGTTGTGATGAAGCTGCCAATCACTAGTTGCCCATATCTGTGGCATTCTGGGTCATCTTGTTAGTTTCCATAGAAGAATATTCAAGCTTGAAGCAAAATCTGATGCAGACTCATTGCTCTACTCGCTCTATCATTTTGAATGTGATGGCCACGGAGTACACATTGTCACTCAATGGTGTTTACCCCCCCCCAATGACTAGTACAGTGAAGTCATCATTATTCACACATGTGCATTCCAGTCCACTGTCCTTGGCTGCCAGGTTACATCAATATTGCACAAACTGTTCTCATTACATTAACAATGGCTGGACTTTTTCCGGACAGACTCCATATGTCTTTATTACATATCAACACTAAAACCTTACTAATCTCTCTGCTTCTTACTTTTCTCTCTGAACCATTATGAGCATCAACAATAAAATTATGTGCATCAAACATCAATTCTTTTATATATATAAGAAAAACTCTTACAACACCAGCCATCCTGACATAGAGAAACAGCAAATAGGTATCTGTGCTCCACTTCTATAGCCAGCTGCAAGAGGTTTTTTTGGTCCCAGAAATATATGCTTTTAATGAGAATAAAATAATAGAAGGAAAGCTATCTCTTGCAGAAACTTCAAGCCATCCATCAAAATCAATTTACCTCTTATTTTATAGTAACAGAATGTAACTGGGCATTACACTGACCATCTTCACTTTGTTCTCACCAGTGGAGTGTGAGCATAAGTGATTGATATGTGCAACTTCCATGTCAGGCCTTAAGACAGGGGACAAATTTTCTGTATTCCTCCTTTCCCTCCCCACTGAATGCCGTAATGACCCAACATAAACCATGCAATTGACAACAATGTCCTAGGAGATGGCAGAACAATGATTTGGAACATGGTCCATGAGTGATATGTCAGGATTAAGGTTGACTTGTTGAATGAACCCATTCACTTCAGAATTATTATATGAGGGGATAAACATTTATGTTAAGCTTGTTGTTTTACTCCTCTGTGCACATTCAAAATGGATTGCTCATGATATTACTTCTAATTTCAGTAAATTTCTGGGGAGGTTGTATCTGCTATGAATATATAAAGAAATATAGCACATACACATTGATACTCAATTTGGCATAGTTTTGTGTTATAACAGAAAATATTAATACACAAAGACTGAAATCATTAACATATCATGCATCTGTCTTCCCTTTCCAAATATATTCTACGGTTCTTTGAATGCCTCCTAGCAGACACTTGAACAATCCTTCTGAAAGAGAGTAAAATATCCTCCTCTATCTCCCCAAATTCAATAAATTTAAGTTTAAATTTACTAAATAATTTCCATGCTTCACTTTGGGAAACTAAAGAATAAGTGTGCCAGTTATCAATTTATTGCCTCTCAACTCCAAATTTATGCTTCCTTGTACACTCTACAAAAATGGATCTGAGTCTTTTTACATATGCTTTTCCCTTGTCAGCTGGCACAATGACAAGCTTGGTCAGTGGAAAGTAATGGAGAGACATCACAGGGGGAAGTGGTTTTGCTTCCTCATTCTAGTAGGCTCACTTAACACACTCTCAGCAAGAGCAGTGTGGGCAGATTTGCTAATATCTGGCTCATGATGCACATGAAACTTCCCCAGCACCCTGGTCTTGCAGAGTGGGTGGCTTCTTTAGAGCTCAGCTCCTGTCTGTAATGGGTGACTTCTCCAGCACCCAGACCCTACAGTGTATTGCAGCCAGCAGCACCCAGTGGTTTACCTTGGCACCCTGCTCAGATGATTGGTAGTGTAATACCTCCAGCAAGACTCTTCCCCATGATCCCCTTTCTGAAATCCCAGAGGGAAGATTTCCAGCAACTCCTGCCAGCATGGCACCACAGAAATTCTTCTGTCATGCTGTGAACCACAGTTGTGCCCTCACAGCAAAGTCTGGATCTCATCCCTTGGAAGTAGGGGAAGCATTTGCTTGGGTGCTGCATCACAATGGTAGAGGTACTGGCTATTCCTTATTCCTGCTATTTCTTTATTCTTTAGAGTTCTGTTTACTTTTACTAGCCACCCTTGTTAGTTCAATCGTGTTATAGCTAATAATTCTTTCTGTTAAACTTCCCAGTTCAAATTAGTATGTGGTCTCTCTTTTCCGATCAGACCCTGAATTATACAATAGAAACAAGGTCTTAAGTCTGGGAACTTTGTAAAAACAGAGTTAAAAGCCTCAGTTATCACAGTCTAAAATCCTGTGCTTTATCTCTAAATTCCCATGAGATGGAAGAAGAGAAAAAGGAAAGAGCCATATATGCTGAAATAATTAAGAGCCATTTCATGGAAATTGATACCTGATCACAGGGTGAAAATGTATCATCTCAACAAACAGCACAGAATACAGTAAGATTCAATGAAGACAATAAATGTGCTAAACATAAAGAAAATGTTAAAAATGTAAAGCCAAAAAAACAATCAGCAAAATGAAGAGTAACCTATGTGATGGGAGAAAATATTTGCAAATCATACATCTGATAAAAGGTTAATATTCAAAATATATAAAGAACTCACATAACACAATAACAAAACAAACCAATGAACACCACCCCTCCAATCCAACTCATTTTAAAAAGGCCAGAGGAACTGAATAGAAAGTTTTCCAAGAAAACATACAGATGAACAACAGGTTCATGGAAAGGTGCCCAATACCGCTGATCATCGGGGAAATCAAAACCATAATGGTATCACCTCATACCTGTTAGAAAGGCTATCATCAAAAGGACAAGATAACAAGTGAAAAAAAGGAACAGAATTAAGACATATTGCAGAAAATAATTTATATATACTAAAAGTACATACTCATAAACCAATACTTCAGGCTTTAAGAGAAATACCATACAAATTCAAAGATCAAATACATTGGACCAGGTACCCATAGGAGGAGGCATAAGTAATGGATATGGGGAATTGGAATAAAAGGAAAGAAATGTAAACGTATCTGAATGTACAAGGAAAGAATCTAAGATAAGGGGGATGGAGGTGGAGTAGGAAGTATAAAAAGGTGCTAGATTAAATAGGGTGGTATGTATGTAATTCAGTGTACAGGACTGGAGACAGCTTTCTTGTCAAAAAGCCAACAGAAGAGATGTGGCAATAGTTGGGTCATAGCTGGAGATGGCATTTAGGTATCAAAGGGTCTTCTGTCAAGTATCCCCCAAGCAAGTACAAAAGTTTACAGCTTCCAAGACAAGTTATCTTCACAGCCTTTGGAAGGTACCAATGTCTCCTACAAAAGTGAAATTTATTTCCATATCCCCTGTCTGCCTGAGCTACTCTCACTCACCTGAACAGCTCTGATGTGGGGTTTCCCCCTCCAATGTCCACGGTCCCTCTCCTTGCTCCAACTTGAAGATGACCTCAGGTTTGGGAACTTTGTACCCTGTTAACAGGACATGATACAAGATTGAGTCTAGCTAAATGGACTTCAGGGACCTTTCAATGACAATTCCATTTGCTCTTCAGAAAAGTAATCACATTTCACTGGGAATTAAGTAGTAATCACAGAGGTGAAAAAGGACTGAAGTGTCAGATAAATCAAGGACAATAATATCAACACATACTTGCAATGGCCCAGAACACTCAGCAGCTGAGAATGCAAATAGCCTCACTGAAGCCCCTGATAGACACATAGGTGGCTGTGCTTACCAACTGAGAGCAGGTGGCTATAGTTCTCTAGTGTCACATCCCGGTATAGACGCCTCTGAGCAGGGTCCAGGTGTTGCCACTCCTCCCTGCTGAAGTCCACAGTCACATCCTTGAATGATACTGAGACCTGTAACAATACAATCCTGTTCAAAACAACATGGTGAGCGGGGAGTATAATGGGAAGATAAATAGGAAGTTCTTTTTAATGCTTTTTACTATAATGTATCATAGGGTTTTCACTCGGTACCTAGTTTTGCATTTTTATTTTCTGAGAAAAAAACTTATTGAAGTATCTTGACATTCATTGTGCACTACATTCATTCACTTATTCATTCAGTCATTTGTCTTTTCAAAAATGGGGATTAAAATGGGTTCTCTTTAAGTCCTCTGGTTAATGTAAGAACAAGATACAATACATTTGCTGGTCAATTCTGTGCTAAGCAATGGCAATAGAGTTGAATAAAATATAGAAAAAATTAAAGACTTGAACAGCGACCCAGGAAGACACAAAGGGTGCTAAAAGGCATTTAGAAGAATTGTATGGGGGAAAGGCAAAACAATAAAAACTTTAAAAGACAATACAGACAAATATCTTCATGATGTTGGTTTAGGAAAATAATTCTCAAATGGGATACAAAAAACATTAACGATAAAGAAAAAGATTGATAAGTCTGTCTATAATAAAGTTTAAAACTTCTATTCATTTAAAAGATAGCATTATAAGAGGGAAAAAGGGAAAGCCACAGAATAGGAGAAGATAACTGCAACAAATATTACTGACAAAGGCTCTTATTTAGAGGATATAAATAACTCTCACAAACCAATAGAAAGAAAAGAGTCCACCTAGTAAAAAGTGGGCAAAGGATTTGAATGGTCATTTTACAAAAGAGGAAATTCGAAGCATCAATAGACACACAACAAGGGCTTAACCTTACTTAACCAGAGAATTCAAATTCAAACCACAATGAGATACCACTGCACAACCCTCAGAATGTCTTCAATGAAAAGGGCTAAAAATACAAAATAATGAAGAGAATATGATGCAGTGAGAACTCTCACATTACCCATAGCCATGTAAGTTGATACAACCATATTGGAAAATATTTTGGCTTCATCTGGTAATGTTGAAGACATGCATACACTAGGACACAGTGATTCTACTCATGGAAATATGCCCAATTTAAATATGTGTACATATGCAGCAGGAGGCATGTTCAAGAATATTTACAGCAGCATTACTTAAAATGTGTGTAATCTTTCATGAAAAAAAGGTAAAAAAAAAGAGTACTTTTTAAAAATCAGTGCTTAATATAACAGTATCTACTGTCTTTGTGGAAAAGTGTTAAAGATATTTTCTTTGTTGTTTTTATTTGCATAATCTCTAAAGATATACCCCACCTACAAACTAATCAGGATCAGTTTTCTGTACTAAGGAGACTTGAGGTGTTGGGGAAGAAAACCAAATGAATGTGTTAACTGTTAAAAAATTAAGTTAAAAATTGCCAATTGAATAAAAGTGGAATAGACATGATTCTCCCTTGCTCCAATTTGCTAAGTACAACTGAAAGCCCTGGATATTATATGTAAAACAAAGATAAGAAGACTCTGTCAGCCCTGGCTAGTGTGTCTCAGTGGATTGAGTGTCAGCCTGTGAACCAAAGTGTCACCAGTTTGATTCCCAATCAGGGCACATGCCTGGGTTGTGAGCCAGGTCACAGGCCAGGGCAAGAGGCAACTGCACACTGATATTTCTCTCCCTCTCTTTCTTCTTCCCTTCCCCTCTCTCTAAAAATAAATAAATTAATTAAAATATTAAAAATGAAATGAAGAAGACTGTCAGTTGGAGAGCAGGTAAACTCTCTAGGGATGTCAGAACCTGTCAAATGACACAATAGTGGTTTTCCCGTGTTTTCTTGTTGTCCCGTATATCCTGGACTAGGTGCTGAGAAGGCTGGAAATCCAGAAAGCCAATGGGCATAGACAAAATCTACCCCTTCAAAGCTTGCTCTCTCTAGCAAAAGGACCAGGAAATGGGGAAATGCAACAAGAAAGAAAACTTTTGATAATAATTGCCCTATTCCAGCCAAGCATCACAGGAAAACTGTGGTCCCCACCACCATTCCCATCAGCAAAAGCTGAGTAAGGAGCCCAGAATTTCATCCTTCCCTGGGGGTAATAAGGCCTCTCCTCCATAGTGTCAGTTAGGCTAAGAGAAGATCTTGGATTTCCACCTCAATCCAGCAGCAACAAGGTGCTCATTCCCCTCTGAGATGCCTGAACTTCTGCCTCCACCTGGCAGTAAGAAAGAGATTCTCCTTTTCTAGTAGAACAGAGTCAGCAGAGGCCTGCTAAACACAAGATTTAAATAATATCCAGAGTCTCATACTTCCCAAGATATCCAGGACATAATTAAAAATCAGGTATCATATGAAGAAGCAGGAAAATCCCAACTTTAATGAGAAGAGACAATAGATTTCACCAGTATCAAGATGACACAGATATTAGAATTATCTGACAAGATTTTTAAAGTAGCATTATAATACAAAAATAGAATGTCTTAGCAAAAAAATAGAAGATATAAAAAAGAACTGAATGGAAATTTTAGAACCGAAAATATATAATAACCAAAAATTTAAAATTCAGTGGATGAGCTCAATAGCTCAATAGCAGAATAAAGAGGACAAAGGAAAAAAACATTTTAACAATAGAAAAACACAAATGATCCAATTTGAATAACAAAGAAAACTGGGAAAAAATTAGCAGTCTCAGGGGCCTATGAGACTATAACAAAAGATCTGGCATTCATGTCATCAGAGTCCCAAGAGGGAGAGGAGAAGTATGGAGCTGAAAAAATATTTGAAGAAATTATGGCTTAAAATTTCTCAAATTTGACAAGTGATATCAACTTAGAGAGTCCAGAAGCTGAGCAAACCCCATAAGAATAAACCAAAAAAAATCTACACAGAGATACACTATAATCAAACTTCAGAAATCTAAACTCGGAAAACAATCTTAAAATCAGCAAGAGAGAAATGACACCTTACCTACAGGGGGGAAAAACAAAGTAACAGAGAATTGCTCATCAAAACCATGGAGGTGAGAAGGAAGTGGCACAACATTTTTCAAGTGTGAAAGAAAAGAACTGTCAACCTTGAATTCTGTGTCTAGAAAAATTACCCTTCAGAAATAAAGAGGTAATAGTTAACAAATACATGAATAGATGCTTGACATCCTCAATTATCAGGAAAATCCAAATCAAAGCTACATTGGGATACTACCTCACATCTACTAGGATGACTAGAGTTAAAAAGATAATAACGTGTTGATGAAGATGTAGAGAAATTGGAACCTTCACACATTGCTGGTGGGATGTAAAATGGTGGACCTACTTTCAAAAACAAGTTTGGCAGTTCCTCAAATGATTAAATACGAATTATCATTTGGCCCAGCAATTCCACTCAAGATAAATGAAAATATATGTCCATATAAAAACTTGTACACAAATGTTTATCACAGTATTACTTATAATATCCAAAAGGTGGAAACAATCCAAATGTACATTGGCTGATGAATGGATAAACACAAGGTGGTATATCTGTACAATGGAATATTATACAATCATAAAAAGGAATGAAATACCCATACATGCTACACATGAATGAACACTGAAACATTATGTTGAGTGAAAGAAGCTATACACAAAGATCATATATTATATGATTCAATTCATGCAAAATATCCAGAATAGAAGTCTATAGAGACAGAGAGTAGTGGTTACATAGTGTTAGGAGAGGTAGGGAGGGGGGAAACAAGGAAGGGGAGTAATGGCTAAGGATATGTATAGGGTTTCTTTTTGAGGTAATGGAAATGCTCTAAAACTGATTGTAGTAATGGTTACATGTATTTATAAATATACAAAAAAAACATTGAACCACATACTTTGGGTAAATTATATGGCATGTGAATTATATCTCAATAAAGCTTATTTTACTTTATTTTTAAATTAATCAATTAATTTATTTTTAGAGGGGAAGGGAAGGAAGAAGAGAGGGAGAAAAACATCAATGTGTGGTTGCCTCTCACACACCCTCTACTGCGAACCTGGTCCACAACACAGGCATGTGCCCTGACTGGGAATTGAACCAGCAACCCTTTGGTTCACAGGCCAGTGCTCAGTCCACTGAGCCACACCAGCCAGGGCTCAGTAAAGCTTTTATTAAAAGAAGAAATGGCTCTGGCTGGGTGGCTCAGTTGGTTGGAGCACTGTCCTGATATACCAAGGTTGTGGGTTCAATCCCTGGTCAGGGCACATACAAGAAGCAGCCAGTGAATGCATGAGTGGTAAGACAACAAAATCAATGCTCCTCCTTCTCTCTCTTCCCCCCTAAAATATCAGTACAAATTTAAAAAGCATTTAAAAAGAGAAAAGAAGAAATGAAGGGGAAATCAAGACCTTTCCCAATGAATGACAACTAAGAAAATGTGTTGCCAGTAGACCTACCCTAAAAGAAAGGATAAAGGAAGTTCTCTAAGCAGAAAGGAGATGATAAAAGGACTCTTGGAACATTGGAAAGAGAAAATGGAAAGAACAAATATATGGGTAAATACAACAGAATTTCCTTCTGCTCTTGAGTGTTCTAAATTATGTCTGAAGTTCAGAGCAAAAAGTCTAACATTGTTTGATGTGGATCTCCATGTATTTAGAGGAAATATTTAAGACAATTTTATTACAAACTGTGAGGGTAAAGGGACTTAAAGGCAGGTAAGTTTTCTATATTTCACTCTAACTGGTAAAATGTCAATGCACCAGTAGACCTATGTGGTGATGGAATAGTTCTGTATCTGGATTATTGTACAGGAATCTACACATGTGTAAAATGGCAGAGAACTACACACACTGTATCAATATCAGTTTCCTGTTTGCCATACTATACTCCAGTGATGCAGGATGTAAACATTGGGGGAAACTGGGCAAAGTGTTACATGGGAACTTTCTGTACCATCTTTGCAACTTTCTATAAATTTACAATTATTTCAAAATAAAAAGTTTGTAACAAATTAACAATATTATCTTCAGAAAGATTGGAGAAGTTAGTGGACATACTATGAAAGATCAGGATGCTATTA